GGATAAACCCTAATCCAACCCTACCTATGTACAACTCTAAAGAGGTTGGCTATATATGATTTCAAAAGGGGTAGCACTTACAAAAGAATAGTGGTTGCTATTATACCACCGTTCAATTAAAGGTAACCAGTAAACCTAATATCAAGGTTGTTGCTAAGAAAAGCAACGAATGTAATGCTCTAAGCAATAGTTTACTCACTTTGGTGATTATAAGATGATAAGCAATTGAAATGTGTCATTCCACACATGAATGAATGAATTCCTTCTAAAACTAGCTAATAAATAAAAGGTCATGATCACTGACGATATTAATGGGTGCTCCATGTAACTTTATTAATAAAGACATAGGTTGGATGAGAAGCCATAAATAAAAGATCAGGCGTAATAAAATGAGTATACTTGTTAAGGTGATCAACAATAATGTAGATTGCATCTTTTCCTCTTGACTTAGGCAGCTTTTCAATAAAGTCCATAACTATGCTTTGCCATACACCTTCAAGTATAGGAAATGGTTGAAGCAACTTGAGAAAAGTGATAATTTCATATGTGCAACAAAGATAGGTTTCACAATCTTGCAAATGTTTTCTAAATGCCAATCAACATTCCTTTCCAATAAAAATAGCTTTAACCTTTAAAGAGTAGTTTTCACCTTAAAATGGCCTTTGAGTAGGCTATAATGCAGTTATTGAATAATTAATGACATCAAGTCACTCTAATCTAGCCCTACAACTAGACATTTATAGAGAAGCATGTTATTGCACTAATGATACTTTGAGTGTAAATGAGTGTGCAAATTGGTAATCAAACATTAGAGAATGGGGTCATTCTGCCATTAAGAAGAAGAAAAGGAGGAGCTCGAGATTCTCTTTACTAAGGCACAAATCCTTAGCGTCTTAAGAAAGATTTTAAGCTTCTAATCACTTCAAGTAAGTTCTCTCGATTTTCCTCTCTCTCTACTCCATTTTTGAGTTAGAGTTTGTAGGAGGGATGTTAATTTTTGGACTCTAAGGCTGCGTGTTTGAACCTATTGATTTAAATATAATTAATAGGAGTAGTTTAAGATTTTTACACTTCAATTTGAAGATTTGATAAGGTTAAAAGCTTAAGTCTAGGGTTTTGGACAAACCTTAGATACTTTAACGATGATTTTGGATTGTTGAGCATTATAATTGATGTTATTTTAGCTAATGAAAATTAAATAGAGTTAATGGGAGATAATGTAACTATTGGTTGTAAAATAACCTAAGAGGTTAGGATTTTGGGTAATTAAAGTATGAAATTAAGAATTTGAAAGTGTGTTAGTGGTGGTTAATGTTGTTAACTATAATTAACTATATGGTGTGCCATTTAAGCTCAAATATAGCTCAGGAAGCAAGTTTGGCTAAGGGATAATATTTAATCTCTCAAAAGTTTGAGGAAACGAGAGGACTTTATTTTATGCTAATTGCTTATTAGATTAATTATGGATATTTATGAACTTGTTCAATGTGTTTTATAACTCAATAGACTTGATTTATCATCTTAGAAACTCAAATGCAAATAGGGCCTTTTTCATATAAATAATAAGGTTTTATGAAAAGAGTTGATTTATTATTGAAAATGATGATTTTGAATATGTTGATATTGATTGAGATATTTGTGTTAGTAAATGAGAAAATTGAAATGATGAGCATATGAATATGATTATAAATGCATGATAATATTATATGCTTTGTTTGAGCGTAGGATTACGTGACATGATCATGTGATGGCGGGAGTTTGCCTTAAGAGGAGTTAGTGTTAATCCTATTCACATGAATATTACCAGCGCTAGTTTAGAGTCGGATCTTTCTAAACCTCACCCAAGGATAGGTATAAGCATAAGTTACTTGAACCTAGCGAGTTCTTCCTGAATCTTACCCAAGAGTGGGTGTAAACATAGGTTACTCGAACCATATGCCCTTAACATCACTATGGATTGGGTATGGAGCAAGGCTTGTGACACTCTAAGGATTTGAGAATAGGGGAATCCATGATCCAAAAGTGAATGTAACACCTTGGCAAGGTAACTTCTCACAATTGGTAAGCTTAGGCTAATTCATTCGCACGAATGCAACCTTATTTGATTTGTCAACCCAAAAATTCAGTCAGTAATATAAGGATTCATGATCATGCATTTCATATATCATGAGATATGCTATTGTATTTTGAAAGTGATTAATTTAAACTTCCTACTTTACATGCCCTAATTAGTTTGACTTGTATGTGCATGACTTAGAATTTCCTTGGTTATTTAGGGGTGAGTATTTGAATGGTTATATTCACCCTTCTTTCACATATTATAGGTGCTTACTCCAATCATAGCAAAATGAAAGGAACCTAATGCTTAGGATTGAATATCTTGTTGTTTGCCTCTTATTTATTTTGTTAATATATGTGTAGTTTATATGATATTGCCAACTAAGGCAACATTTCTATCATATTTGCACCATATTTATTAATTTGTATTTTGGTTGTATGTTGGGTCCTAGATTATGAACTGTACATTTTAGTTTGCTTTGAAATGGCCAAAAATACTAATACAAGTATAGATATGGTTATTTTTTTAAATGTGAATATTTATTTTGAAAAATGGTATTGAAACCTCCCCCTCATGATTTTGATGAAATATGTGGTTGCATGTTGAATTGAGTTTTATAATGAATTTGATTAATGCGATACATTATACAGATTGTCTTAAGTCTCTTGAGTTTGGTATAGGGGTGTTGTTAGCTTTTGACACTTAGTTAGAAAGTTGGACATCTTCGAAGTGTTAAAATGTGAAAATGTGGTTGTTTTTGTTATGGGCGTCCAACTTCTTAATGTAATAAAATTTAGAGACAAAACTAGTGCCATTAACTTGTTCATCAAATGAACTTTTTATAAACATTTAAATCATCTCAATTAGATATTGAATAGAGATTTAAGACTTACCGAAAGTTCATCCCTTGGATATAGTTCATGACAGCTAATGTTGTTTGAATCTGTGCGGTGTGCCGCGGTACATAACACAAAGAGCATTAGCCATGATGCATCAAGCTGTAGTCGCAGTAGGTGACTCGTTTCATTGAAAAATGATATTTTTAATCCTATTTGAAATGTTTTGAATACTAATTGGTATTTCATACTTTTGTACATCGTTTAACTCTAATTTATATATGTTTCATTATTATAAAAGTTTGCTTTCTTTGTTTTATATATATGGGATCCCATTGATTTAAAGGTTTTTCAATTTTATTATGGATTTTAACCTTTTTAGTATACTAGAGTTTGACTATTTAGTTTCAAACTATTCTACCATCATAGTAGAATCTTATTTTACCAAGGTGGGAGCTTTTAGAGGGGGCATGTACACGATGTAATTTGGTAAGTTTAATCTTAATCATAGTAGACATTTGATTTCAGTCATTTCCTATTTTGCTATAGTTAACTCTTTATAATTGTAATTAAAGGATCTACTATAATTGGTTGCTTGGGATAGGTGATTCCCTAATTATCATGGTAGATCGTAATTAGTATTGTTATGTATATGTGGTAATTATAAAACATTACATGATGCATATAAACCGCAAACTACCTTGATTAATATGCTATACACTTAAGGACTCAAGACTACGTGGATCTAGAACCTCTTAGTAGCGAGTTTCTCAGTATCCATCAATAGTTAAATTTGGTCCATTCAAATGATCAAAATCTCATCAATTTTCACATCAAATAGCTTTAGAAAATGAATGCAAACTACCTAGCCTATTCCATTAGATATATATGACAACAAAATATCATCCAAATCAAATTGAAAGTTGATACGCAAGTGCCTACAAGTTGAAACTTTCTAGTGTTATATATTTCAATGGAAGTGCTATTTAAACATCTTTTAAGACTCTTGTTTATAATTAAGAATATTGAAATTTTAAAATTTCAATGAATTATCATAATTTTTAATTGGAATTAAAAAAAATTTCTTTTCTAATTTTTTAATATTGATCATCTTTCATTCATTTTTAACATTTTTAGGACTAAATTTTTTCAATTTTTCAATAATCATCTTAGATGTTTTAAATGTTCATCTTTCATTTTATGTATCTTTAAGTTTTTTTTTTTTTTGGCACTGAAATCATAGAAGATGGGTATTGAAAATATCTAAGGTTACTTACCACTAAAAAAATTTAAAAAAAAAATTTAAAAAAAAAATTGAGTACTAAAAATGAGTATTAAAAATATGGAAGATAAGTAGTAAAAGATTCAATTACAATATTATAAATTTCAATTAAGGATTATGGTCTTTTAATAAAATTTCATAATCGTACATCGTTAATTGTAAGTTTCATGTTCACTTGAACTAAGAAAGACATTAAATCTCATTTGCTTAAAAATTTAACATGTTTTGAACCTTACTCCTATTAAAGATGCATATTTAAAAATAAAATATCCTTTCTTATACAAAAAAATATTCTGACATTTAATAACATTCCTAATATTTAATAGGTAAAAAGATGGACATAATAATCATCGAGATATCTTATAAATAAAATCAAAATTCTTCAGTTTTTATTGTAGGGCACTTTAATTTTAAAAGCATTTTTAATTTTTAATTATTAATATAAGGCATATTATGGGATATTAATTACACTTTTTCAATATTGACCATTTTTAAACTCATTAACTATTAAAGAGGATGAAATACAAATTTACAAACTTTTTATTTTATGAAGGGTTAATAAGTAAATAGAATTTCAAACTCTTGCTTGAAAATTATTTTAAATCTTAAACTCTTAAAATATGCAAACTAAATTTTAAACTTTTAAATTCATAACAAAATAAATTGTAATCATTAACTTTTTTAACACTATTACTATTCATGCGGGTACTGTAATAGTTAGGGTTAAATTTATAGAAAAATAAATTTCGAATAATACTTGCGTGGACAATAATATCTTAAAAAGTTAACGGTCATGATTTATTTTATTATGAATTTAAAAGTTTAAGATTTATTTTATATATTTTAAGAATTCAGGATTTAGGACAATTTTCAAACAATAATTCAAAATTCTATTTTCTCATTAATCTTTTAATAAAATTAAAAGTTTATTATATTTTTAAATAAAATTAATAATTTAACTTTTTCTACTTGATCATGGCGAGATAGTTAAAGGGGCTGTGTCATAGGGTCAAGAGAAAGCACTCTCTTTACCCTTTAAATAAGACAAAAGGAATAATGTTAAAAAGTCTTTAAATATCAATTTTTTAATATTTTAATATTTAATCCTCAGGCCATGTCAGGGAAAAAAGTTTTTAATTATACTTCACTAAGGTTCACTAAATAGATGACAATGAGTTAGGAAGTTCTTTGACAGATCAAGAAATATCGAAGTTTTTTTTTTAAAAAAAAGGAATAAGGACTATAAAATAAAAAGTCTTGCACAGAGAGAGAGAGAGAGAGAATTAGAATTTAAGAAAGACAACAATATACAAAAGACTAAACTCATTATAACAAGCCTAGTGGCAATATAACAAATAATAATACAGTATTTAATTTGTAATTTTCTTACAAATTGTGTTATCTATCATCTCTGTATCTAAATTTAATTGCTTCTTTCGTCATCAACACAAAAACTATATTATGAAATGCGTTAATGGACGTTTATGGATGGTATTTACTTATGCATAAGTTATGCATTCATGGACGTTGAGTTCATCGCTGCTTAATACTAGTATATCAGGAAAAAATCTTTATAGTATCCTCCTCAATTATTCACGTACGGGATCCAATTTGATAATAATAACCGTCAATTAGTGTTGATCATTACATGTACCAGGTACACTCTCAAGCAAATAAATAATTAAATAAATCCTCGCCTGACAAAACATATTTAATCATGTAACTGTACTCACAAGCAGGTTTTAAATGATGTCTCATCCAGGCAACGTATTATATATTTTATTGATGTATGCTTGCTAACTAATAACGAGATATGATTAAAGGGAAATGATGTGTGTGTGTGAGTGTGAGTGAGTGAGAGAGAGAGAGAGAGAGAGAGCATGAAAAGAAAGAATTGCGTATAAGTTTTAAATAAAAAATTAATAATTCTCAAGTCGTAATCACTTGTACGCACAAAAGTTTAATATTTATAAACAAACCACATTCCTTCATTACCCTACCGATGGAGGATCATATCTTGGAAGCCATGGCGACCTCTTTTGCTTTCCTAGTTCTCTTTGTTTTGATGAAACTTGTCCATAACATATGGTGGAGGCCTAAAAGTGTTGAAAGATTATTAAGGAAGCAAGGGATCAGGGGCACTTCATATCGTCCCTTAAGAGGTGACATGCCAGAAATGGAGAAGTCTGTCAGAGAAGCGTCTTCTAAGCCCATCTCCCTCAATGCCCAAGTCGTCCCACGAGTCATCCCTTTCCTTCACAGCATGGTTGAGCGATATGGTAAGCAAACCGACTTTATTTACAGTCATAGAATAAATAATACGTCTAGTATGTAAGAAAACAAGAAAAACTAAAAACTTGTTTGGTTTTAATTTTAATTTTTTGTTTTTAAAAACTATTTTGTAATATAGTTTTTAATATTATTTTTTAAAACAAAAAAAGAAAATGTATTTAGTTGTATTTTTTAAAACAAAAAAGAAAATGTATTTAGTTGTATTAATTTAAAAATATTTTAGAATTAAAAATCATTCAATATTGATAGCTAATTATTAGTCAGAGTACCTATACTTTCAATTATCATATGTAATGTATTTTAAAAACAAGAAAAACAAAATGAAAACATATTCAATGTGTTTTTTTTTGTGTTTTTTTTTAAATAAGAATAGTTTTAAAAACAATTATATTCAAAACACTCATTTAATTTTTTTTAACTTATTTGTTGTTTAAAAAAACTGTTTTTGAAAACATAAACCAAACATGCCCTAACTCTTTCCCCCTCCCCTTTTTGGCATAGGAAAAGTTTCAATATGTTGGTTTAAAAGTACTCCAAGGTTGATAATTGGAGAGGCAGACTTGATAAGGTTGATATTTGAAGATAAGAACAGTGGGATAGTGCACCAACCTGTCAGCCCATTGGTGTTTCTTCTACACATGGGTCTAACTACCTTGGAAGGTGAGAAATGGAGTAAACGCAGAAAGCTGGTAACTCCTGCTTTCCACTTTGACAAGTTGAAGGTACACATATATTATACCCACCAAATCCGTTAAAAAAAAAAAAAATACTATCATTGCTAAGGAGTGCTATATATGACAAAACTAGAGCGGTAAAAAATGCAGGGAATGGTTCCGGCAATTTCAAGCAGTTGTTACGAACTGTTAGAGCGGTGGCAGAAACAAGTGGAACCACAAGGGTGGTGTGAAATTGACGTTGCTCCTGAACTCGATGCTCTGGCCTGTGATGCCATAGCTCGAACAGCCTTTGGAAGTAACTACCGAGAGGGAAAGGAGTTATTTCAACTCCAGAAAGAGCAAACTTTGTTGGCGCTTGAAGCCTATAACTCAATTTATGTCCCAGGTTTCAGGTGAACAGCTTTCCTAGTTAATACCGCATATAAATCTAGACTTTCCCTTTCTACTACGAATTCAGCACTCACTTCCTTAGACTTTGTAATATAAAGAGGTCGTGGTCATACAAATCACATCAGCTAAACACGCGTGTACTTGACTGTATTTATATATTCTGTGCCAAGATTCATACCTACAAGGAAGAACAAGAGGAGGTACCAATTATACGACCAAGTCAAAGGAATATTGAGGAATATGATACAGCAAAGAGAAGATGCAGTGAAAAGTGGAGAATTGGGAGAAGGCCTAGATTTATTGGGCTCATTATTGCAGAGCAAAGAACAGAGCAATAATGATTTGACAATAGAGGATGTGATAGAAGAATCCAAATTGTTCTATTTCGCTGGTCAAGAGACCACCGCCACCCTCCTCACATGGACCATGATCTGCTTATCCATGCACCCAAATTGGCAGGAGAAGGCAAGAAAAGAAGTATTAGAGATATGGGGCAGAAGAAAGCCTGATTTTGGAACGATTAATCGCCTTAAAATCGTAAGTTCAAGTAATGAACTGTATTGAAATACTCGGACATTTGGTTAAACACCTACATGTACATATATTTGATTAATTTGACTGTGGCAGGTATCAATGATACTTCATGAAGTGTTGAGACTGTTTCCCCCTGTACCTAGTTTCTTCAGATGCACGACGCGCGAAACCAAGGTAGGAAGGTTATTGATACCTGCAGGGGCTGAGCTGTGTTTATCAGTGATGCATGCTCATTATGACACCAATTATTGGGGCGACGATGCACACGAGTTCAACCCAGAGAGATTCTGTGAAGGAGTTTCAAAAGCTTCAAAGGATCAGATGGCTTTCTTTGCATTTGGTTGGGGACCAAGAATTTGTTTGGGCCAAGCTTTTGCCTTGATTGAAGCAAGGATAGCTGTAGCCACAATCCTTCAACATTTCTCATTTCACCTCTCCCCTTCTTACGCTCACGCGCCTCACCTTCGCATTAATCTAAAGCCACAGTACGGTGCTCCCATCATTCTACGCCGTATCTAAGCTAGTTGTACCAGTCCAAGGACATCTGACTAGATGGGCTCTTGGGTTGAATACTGTTATCGTCCTAAAGAAGTCAAGGCCCTTTAAACTGTACTGTTGATTATGATATGGATTTGTTTATAATTAATATATATTGATTGATGATTGATGATTGGTTGGTTGGTCTTGAAATTTAATTGATGAAAATTTTGCTCCCAGAAAGAAATGCTTGCTTTTATAGTTTAAAGCCCCCCTCAATCATGCTTGATGGTGCTTTGCGTTTGCTGTTTCATTTTCAGCCTTTAGGGACTCCTCTTGCTAAAGAGTTGTGGTCCTCATTCAGCATCAAGACAATGACCCACCCCTACAACTGATCTACTCTTCCAATCAGTCCTTTATCCTTAATCTGTTTTTCTTAATTGGATCACATGTTTCAGTAAAGGTTGTTTGGTGGGGAACACTGGACCGAGAAGTTGAAGACTTTCCCAAAAGAATTATGACGAAGGGAGTGAGCCAGTAAGAAAACAGTGGGATAATTAATGAACAGACAAGTCAAAGGGGTTGATGACAGAAATGTTGAATGAAGAATGTGAATGTGAACATGTGAAGATTGTTCTCAGGCATCTAATGTCACAAGTGTGAAGCCAAGTAGCAAGAATATGAATGTAGGAGATCATCAACGAGTAGTGTCATAATTGGCATCTGCCAAAGGAAAAATTAAAGGAAAATTGCACTCCAGACCTTAAAACAGCAAAAGTTTTCACTTTGGGCCAAATATATTTTGATATGACACTGCAAGCCTAAGGACTCTTCATATATAGCATGTACAACACAATGTTTATGGATGGACAACATAATGTCCATGAATATATAACACAATGTTTATGAATTCTCAATATAATATCCATGTGCATCCGCACATGAACATTTAGTTGATAATGCATGAACATTATGTTGTACATCTATAAATATTTGTTGTATATTGTATGTGTTACTTATATATTTTATTAAACCTACTAATCAATTAGCCATGCACGGACATTATATTGTGTATTGATGAACATTTTGTTATGCATGATTTGAGTTTTTAAATCACATAAAGGCAAAATTATACTTTCACTCTCAAGAAAAAGTGTAACAAAGGCCCTTGGGCCTATAGTATAATCTTTACTCTTTTGGAGCTTGTAGTGTGATTCCCCCAAAAATTAATGCCAAGATCGGAAATGGAGATATCATATTTGTTTCATTGCCTATGCTTAGAAGATGCTTGAAAATGTATTTTCTGTTATATATTCTATAAAATAAAACATAATTGAAAAAAAAACCAAAAAATTAGAACATTTTTTAAATGTTTTGTTACTTTTTGTTTTGCAAACTTAGAAAAAAAACCAACAAATATATTTTGTTTTCATTAATGATAATTATGGAAATAAAATAAATAAATTTCCCCCCTTTATTTCACTATTTTAGATGTGTTTTTTAATATGATAATTCAAACATATTTTTTTGCAAAACTTGCTTTAAAATATTGCTCTACAAAATTATTTTAAGAATATGATAACTTAAAACATAATTCCATCTTTAGTATCAAACACCTTATAAAAGTTATAAATGTCGGAGGACCTAAAAAATTAAGTTAAAGCATACTTTTAGTTCTTTAACTTTATATAACATTTTAAGTTGGTTCTTTAATTTTGTAGAGTATTTTTTTAGTCCTTTAATCTTAATATATTTAGTTTCAAATGATTAATTTTAATTTCAATCATTATTATTTTGAAAAAAAATAAATTTAATATGTCAACATTTGAAAATATTTTATCAATATTTAAAATTTTTATATAAAAAGTTATCAAGATAAAACCAAGGTATTAGGATTAAAGGACTAAAAAGATACTTTTTGAAGTTAAAAGACTAAAATAAAATATTATGTGAAATTAAAAAACTAAATGTATGCTTTAATCAAAAAATTAAAATTAAGACCAATTGAGACTAATATTCTCACAGATTTTTAGTGCAGTTTCTATTTGTTTTTTTTTTGTTTTACACCAAAAATGAAGCCTATTATTTATATATCGTTGTATTTATAGGGTACAATTTGCTAGTAATTCTATGAACATAAATTTGTCATAGGATTTGATTTACATAAAATATTGGAAAAACACAATTATGAATTCCTATAGTTTCATTAGATTTTATTTTTAGTCCTTATAATTTTTTTCAATCCTTATAAAGACCAAAAACACTAAAAAAAACTTTAAAAACTAAAAGTAAAACCCAATAAAATTATAAAGATTAAAGAACATATTTTTCCTAAAATATTAATTGAAGCTCATCTGTGTTAATAAAATAGGCTAAAGTATACTTTTAATCCTCTTACTTTATATAAGATTTTAATTTATTTTTTTTAATTTTATAAAGTATCTTTTAATCTTTTAACCTAATATTGTGAGTTTAAATAATTATTTTTTGTATCAATCATTGTTATTTTAAAAAAATTAAATTTAATGTGTCAAAAATTGATAATATTTTATTAATATCTAAAAGTTCAATATAAAAAATTATTAGAATAAAACTAACAATGTTAAGATTAAAGAATTAAAAAGAAAATTTAGAAAATTAATGGACTAAAATAAAATATTTTATAAAGTTAAAAGACTAAACGTATACTTTAACTAATAAAATATATAATTGTTTTAAAATTGGCATATTAGTTCTTTTATTGGGAACTTGCATCTTCTTATCTCATTAACGGTATTTGAAGGACAATTGAGTCATAATGTGGTCATATTTCTTAATAAGAAATCAAATATTTATCTATCATGTTGTGAAGATCTAGTCTCCATTTTGTTAGACCCAATTCTTGGTAGTTAAAATTTGCATCTTATATAAACATATCAATTTTAAAAAATAAAATAAAACTACTTAGCAAACCTTTTTAATATAGATGTGAAAGCCTATAACTCCTTATAAAACTGTCTTTAAAGTTAACATGGTAGATGCATAGTTTCGTAATGCTATTGAAATTTCAATACAACTTTTTTGTTGCTCCACATAAAATCATTTCAGGAGATTATCAATATCAATGTGTGTGTGTATAAATTTTATAGCTTCAATTTGATCGGTAAAAGAAATTGACTCTCATTGATTAATAGATTTTAAGCTAATATTAATATTAAAAATTTTCTTGATTCATTAATGAAATTTAATTTAATTTTTTATTTTTTATATATTTTCAGTTTACTTTCACAAGAGCATTTAATTAGATATAATTTATTTTTTTAATTTTCATGTGTTTTTAATTTACTTTTACAGGAGCATTAATTCAAGAACAGTTTTATTTTTAAAAAATAAAATTGAGTCTCATTGGTTAATAAATTTTAGACTAATAAAATTTCTCTTGATTCATTAATAAAATTTAATTTACTTTCTTATTTTTCATGTATTTTCAATCTATTTTTATGAGAGTATTGATTCAAACGTAGTCCCTTTTTTTAATTTTTTTGATCATTAGTATTAACTCCATTCGATTATCTTTTCCATTTGATGTATTTTCTTATGCCTTTTTAATTTCTTAATCAATGAGATTTAATTTAATTTTTTTATTTTTATATATTTTTAGTCTACTTTCATGGGAGCATGGATTTAAGAGAAATTCTTTTTTCAAATTTCTCTGATCGTTAACATTAACTCTATCCAACTATCCTTCTATATTCATTGTACTTTTTCATGACTTTTCAATTTTCCTGATTAGTGGGATTTAATTTTTTTTCTTATTTTTCTTGTATTTTCCTGATTCACTATATTCAATACCAATCAATTCTTATTAACTATCATCCATAAATATTATCTATAAAAATAAAAAAAATTAAAAAAAATTTAAGTTTGATTTGGATTATTAATCACTCTTGGTATTAGCCTTTCAAGCCATGAATGTTTCATCATACATTCTGCACTAACAAAATAACACGGAGACTACTTAATTACTTTAAACAGGCAAAACTTGAATGGTAAATATATCTTTCTGGTAAGCCTTTTGTTTTGCACATAAAAAGAAGAAGAATAGAAATTAAAAAATAGAAAAGAATATAATATAATTATTAAAAAAAAGAGGGATCCTTTTGAATTCTTTTTTATATTCATATTTATGAAAATATAATTTATGTCATAATTTATAAATTGATATCTAATTTTTTTTTATGTAATCAAAAGCAAGAAATTATTAAAAATTTTAGAGAGGTTTTTTTTTTAAGCTAATATTCTCTAAGTACTCTAAAATCAAATATTTGTAAATAAATTTTTTATTATAAATTCAAGAAATAAATATAAAATATATACAAATAAAATATCTAAAAGGGAAAACTTTTAAACAGAGGAACTCGTAAAAATTCAACTATCACATCTATCAATCACCACCTTGAATGCATTTGGCGTGTGAATAGATTTGGGGACATCTAGTCATTATCTTCTTTTCGAGGGGTAATTTAGTAAATTAAAAGGTTGGGTTTTTCTTACGATGCGATCGCTTGGACTTCCCAGGCCTCCTTTCTGCAGGGTTCCGTTTTAGGACATGGGCCTTGGGCCAACAGACTCCCCGATTTGCATTTCCTGGCATTTTAGACGGCGATCACGACTTCGCGCTACAACATCGAAGGCCTAAACGTGTTTTTATCAAATATTTAATTACAGTCATACACCCACGCTCTGTACCCAAAAAATGTGTCAATATTTTTCTGTTTGGTTTGAATGGAGTACAGGAGAGTTGGAGGACTCAAAAAGATTAACATGAATTGAATTTAAAACATAGATAAGTGTAGTTATAAAATTTTGAAAGGAAAAAATATCTGAAAAATAAGAAAAATCAAGTAAAATTTTCAATCTCATTTCTCCACTCTCTTAAATCAAACTCATTAAAATCTTTATTCCCATATGTTCCCTTCAAATCAAACAGATCATAAAATAATAGAATTTAAGTATTGAGTAAATGTTAATTTGATTATTTTACAAAAAAGTGATAATATATCTAGGTCAAAATGTGGATTGATATTATTCTTAATAACAATTTTGTGAAAAAAAATAATAGTACTTAAAATGTGTGAAATATGATCGTGTAAGTAATTATAATAAATAACTATAACAATGAAAAATAATTATATTCTTTTTTCTCCAAGTATAATTAATTATAACAATTAAAG